TGTATGTTTATAAAATAATGTGTTTAAAAATGTTTTTTTTTTTTTACATTATTGTGCTTGATAGAAAAAAATAGAAAATATATTTTTTCGTTCGACGTAGCAAAAAATAACAAATATAAAAAATTATATTATTATACTATTGTGTGCTATTATATAATTACAATATTATACTACTAGTACAATATTAATAACATCATACTAATATTGTAAAAGTGTAAAATATGAATCTATGTAAAATTTTGTTATTAGACAAAATTGCCAACTGTCGTATCGTTCGACGTATTATGTTAATTGACATTTCAATTTGGCAGAATTATCAACATAATTAAAAACGTTACGCTTTTCGGTGAATCAGCAGTACATTTGCGTGATGAAATAATAATTTGCCCGACAAAATGTTACCAGGTTAAGCTATCTTGAAGATATACGTAGATATACACGTCATAACGTGTGTGTGTATATATAGTCGATTTAATCACAGAGCGTCCCGAAGGGTATTCTGAGGATATAAGGTCAGAAGTTGGCATTTTCATGTGGCGTAACTTCATTTGTGCTCACCGTTTCTTATAAATGCCAAACGGCGTGCTCTTTAATTAATGCAGACGGCGTAAAAACCGAAATGTCACTTGTACGCAGGGGACAAATGTAAATTAGTAGGTCACCGCTACCATCGATCGAATCGTTTTCGAACACGTGGAAAAAAAACACAGAAAGATTCTTGTCACCCACCTCGCTGTAGCAAGAGAAAAGAAGTAACGCACCTCTTGCGGAACCTAATAGCCCTCCAGACGGTCGGGGGCGCAATTAAAAGTTGCGGTCGAAACTAACTAAACCAGCCGTAGTTTGATTTAAACGTTATATCCCCGTTATACGCTCCTACGTGACGTTGCTTAATTGCATTTAAATGGATCGCGGATGAGGCGGCTCCGTGGCGGTATCTTCGAAAGCTTGGAGAGCTCGAAGGGGATTCAACGCGACGCCATTCGGACTCTCAGTAATCACGATCGAGCAAAAGATCTTAATTGATCGGCGGCGATTTACTCTCTCTCTCGCCTCCGAAGCGAGACTCTGATTAAAATCTCTCGGAGATAACTGTCGTTTGCACTGTAAAACAAGATGTGAGGTACAGAATGTTCAAACTCACATCGCGCGACGGAAAATGTTAGTTTGATCAAACAAACAGAGCGCGCTGATCAATAATGTGAAAATAACAGACTTTTGAAATTTTGTCAGAGAGACGGAATCTTTCTCTGAGCAACATGTACATTTTGCAAATTCGAAACAGTTCATTTTGACTATTCGCTTTGGGAGAGCTCAGTATTTTTGTAATCAACGATAGCTCGGTTATCTTATTGTGTTCCAACAAGATCCAGAGAGAGAGAGAAAGTTTCCAGTTTTGAGAGAAGAAGAAACTTCGTGAAACCCATATATGAACGTGTACACACACCGAAAGATCCACAGATGTCGCGAAAATGAAAATACCTTCTCTCCCTCTCTCTCTCTCTCTCTCTCTCTCTCTCTCTCTCTCTCTCTCAGTCTAGCCAGCGAAGCGAGAAATAACTGCAAATAACGTTCGGGGATTACTCGGTTACCGCGATACACTTGTACTCCAGGTCCTTCCATCGTGGCCCGTGTTGCAGTAACTAGGTTTCCACTTCCTATCTGATGTACAGCCGCCTGCATCTTTGTGACGAATATCTCTCGTATATGTACACGCTCACGTCAACCGTAGAGAGAGAAAGAGAGAGAGAGAGAGAGATTCCGACAAAATACGTGTTCGTCCTACTCGACACGTTCACTGACAAGGGGGAATTGAAAAGCTGTCTGGCAATCCGGACGGCTTATCCCGGTCCATCCCCGTCGTATCTCTACTGCTCTACTCCTCTCTCTCTCTCTCTCTCTCTCTCTCTCTCTCTCTCTCTCTCTCTCTCTCTTGCCCTCTCTGCGAGCTCGCTCGCGCTCCGAGAAAAAGACCCTTTTACAGTTTCTCCTCTCTTTCTCTCTTTCTGGGAGCACGCACGGCAGCCGATTAACGTCTTCGAGTGCCGGTAAACTACACTAGGGCTACTTCACTAGTTATATTGTTTTAGGCAGATGAAAGATATGTTATTCCGGAGAGACAGCGCGAGCGAGGTATTAACTCTTTAATTCTAGCAGTACGGAATGTGCGAGCGAGCTTTTAATTGAAAAATTTGCGCGCAGCGGGTACGTATAACGAAAAAAAAAGTAACAAACTAAAAAACTATTTTCTCTAAATTCACGCATACGCAACTTTCGTAAGTATTAGTAATTACATTAATTTTTGCATTAAGTTACGGAAAAAGAAAAATGAAGAAAAGTTAGTCGAGAGCTTAAACGGAACAAAAGAAACATCGCTACATCGTCGGATTTTAAGTTGTAAAATAAATAAGATCGGCAGCGCGCGGCTTCCGAAATTCCGAGATAGCGCCGCTCTCGAGTCGCGATTTCTCAACCGGTCAAAGGAAGGAAACTCGCTCGCTGTTCTCGCAATTAATTCCACCCCATTTTCCTTTTGACGTAATATCGCGCGGCATCATTAACGCGCATATTTATCCGCGGAGCTTCAAAGCACGGGAAAGTGGCGACGCGGCAATTAACATCGAGGTCGTCGGTGGAATTTTCGACGATGCTCGGGTTAATTATTCCGCGGCAATTTAGCCGGTAACGAGGCAGCGCGGCGGTGGCGGCAATTGGGTGCCCCGGTTGGAATTATTGTAGCGACGTGATTCGCTCCGGCCATTTACATCGTAGCAACAAACGTAATGCTACTCAACTCCGTCCCTAGAATTTGCTCTGCGGTCTGACTGCTCGCGCTGCGCCGCTTTCGCGGTGTGGTGTCCCTCATAATCATTATCATCATCATCATCATCATCATCATCGTCATCATCATCATCATTATTATCATCATCGTCATCGTCATCGTCAATCGTGATAATTATTGCGTCGGTAAATACTCTGCGCACTGGGAAACGGACGGAAAGCGCACCCGATCCGTCCGAATATACACTTACGGCGACGGGCGACATGATTAAATGAACGCTCCCGATATATGTACATGTGTGTCACGGTTTTCAGTGAGCCAACGCGCTCAACGCGGTAATGATGATGTTGCCGGCCACCACAACATCAAAGACGGATTAGGGGGATCGGCGGGCACGCGCCTGCCGTTGCATCGATTCTGCGGTCGCCATGAAGGCTTATTTAGATTGATCTGATACGTAGCTTATAGCTTACTTGCGCGTTACACTAGCGAATTAAACTCGTTTAATGATTGATAGTAACCAAAAGTTTTGGCAGATGCAACTTCTTCCCCCCCCTCTCCCTAGATATTTCTTCGAAGAAAGTTCGATTGTGATAATTGTAATTTTTGATATTATATTAAAACGCAATGGGAGTAAATTTTTGTTTTATTCAACATAATAAAATTTCATTAGATAATTGTTAGTTTAAATATAGAAGGAAACACGCACGTGAGCAATCAGTTGACTTCCGGTCGGCATCCCTAAATAGATATTATTTCGCGTACATGGCGAACGATTTCTCGAGGGAAGGTCTCGATTAAACGAACGAGCGCGTCGGATACGACGATGTTAATTCGATTAACTTTGCGACGGCACTTTGTTTGACGTCGGGTGTCGTGTTGCGGGAAAATATTTCGCTGGCCGTTTACAGGGGAGACACACGGTCACGCATCACGCGGGGGTGATGCGCGCGCCTACTTTCCTTACAACGCAAACATACTCCGTTATTAAACCGCGTAGACGTGTACCTTTATTCACTCGCCAGTGAATAAAAGTCAGACCGTAATAAATTGCTTTCGTGACTCGAGACGCGACGTTTTTACCTACAAATACCGATAACGACGATGAGTTCCAAAAGAAAGTCACAATTTGATGTGTCATTTTACATAAGCTACATTAAAACAATTATTTCAGAGATAATTTTTAAAACAATATCTTAAAGATTTTTGTCCTGAGAAATTTCTCGTTTTTACTTTTTGATCCGCGAATGTAACACGCGCGCACTCTAGAACCTACATCGAAAAAATTATTCTCGTAAATAGAAGATTTTATACTTAAAAAATCTTCTTAAAGATTTTAGATGATATTCTTCTGAAATATTAAGAATATATTCTTAAATAAAGAATATAGTCTTTTTCGATAGTGAGATATATATGTTTTTCTACAGAGGCTTTTTATAGTCTAATCAGTATATATTCTTATCAATATTACTATTTAGAGGATTTTCCTCTTAAAATAAGAAACTCTTCTTGGCGCCTATTTTAGTATAAAATATACGTAAAGTAAGTGGGATATCCTCAAAACAAGAATACAATTTTTTCGGTGTAATTGCACAATGTTTTTTAAACGAGGAAAACATTAAGTAATATGCAAATTAGATACTCATAAAATTAAAATTGCAATCCCTCAATCGTAACGAGTTATGTACGAGTTCCCAGTTCCCAGATGCCTTTAAACTGTAATTCAGAAGCGCATACAAGAATTTGATAGAATCGCGATGAGTGCAGACTTGAAACCTACTTCACGCAAACTCGATGACGCCCCGGGCTCGACCGTGTCGTGCCACGTGCTGGTGGATCGAAACGCACGTGCGATCGCCCTCAACGGCGCGACCATTATCGTCGGCCGATCGCAAACACTCGACGACAAGCGGCGAAACCGCCTCCGCTGGAAATATGCCGTGGCGAATCCAACCCCCCTGTTGTTGACGAAGACGTAATCGCGCGCGCGCACACAATCACGCCGCAACACCAGCGTGTGTAACCGCGTTGTGCACGCGACCGACTGGCCGTACGCCATCGGAACTTTGAAGATGCAATCGTGAAAACGCAGATAAAAGTAGCAAATTCTTGTACATTTTCCTGGTTTTCTTTTCGATGAACTCGTTATACCCCTTAATTTCGCGACATTTACGTCGATCTTTTAAATAGTCAAGTTTTTTTTTAGACCAAAACTCACCGTTTCCCGAGGCGGACTCCAGCACTGCGGCGACGTACTTCGTCCGCTGTGGTTGCTCATGGCGGAATTGGAGGCGGAATGAAGATTCTGAAGACTAGCGTTGAGCGGCGTTACCGGATCGTCCTCCGTCGTCTCGATGTCAACCTCATCGTCGGAGTTTTCGTCCTTCTGATTGTCCGCCGGTCGCTCGGGAACGATCGTCGGTTCGACGATAGGTGGTCCGCGAATCACCGGACGGAACGCGGACTGATGTAAGGGTGGATTGACGGTAGAGAGTAGAGGTTCCGTGGGACTGGATCCGCTTATGGGCGGAGGTAACGGTCCTAAAACCACGAACGTTCAAAATGCCTAGTTATCTATAATTGGGGTTGATTTGATCGTCATCATGCAATAAATCACGTAAAATAAAGCAGTTTATTTATACGTTTTCTCGCCGTACCAGGAAACAGGACGGGACTGCGCTTGGCCAACCAGGGTAGAGCGTAAGGCGGAAAGGCGAAGGGGCCGGGTGTTTTAGCCGCAGCTACTGCCGCCGCCTGCTGATGCTGATGCCATACGTAATCCATAACAAGACTTCGTGACAGTGGCAGCGGTAGTTCCGGAAACGGTGGTACGCGAGGATGCGCCGGTGTCGGTACCAAACTAGGAATTTGCGGGGTGCTAGTAGGCGACGATCTCGGCTGCTTCGCCGGACTCGGCGATTCCCGAGAGCTGTTCGAGTTACTGAGCAAGCGTTTTCTGGTGCCACCGTTGAACATCGCCTTGACATCCTCCCAAGCGTGCACTATCTCGTCCGGCTGACTGCCGGTCAGCTTCATGTGCCGGCGCCACGAGTTGAAGTTGGCCGCGTCAGGCTGCACGTACTTGTCCGTCGGGCCCATGCGGTGCGAATGGAAGATGAACTTGTTCGGCGAGAAGAACAGGCCGCAGTACGCGCACTTGATGCACTTGGCGCGCGAGCTGTTATACCGAGCCGGCAGGAAAGCGCCACGACAGCCCCAAGCGCACTCGTGATGCACGGAGAACGCAAAGTCCTCCGGCAATCTGTGTACCAATTATTTTCGTACTACCGATTGGTCGAAAAGTCGAACAACAAAACCTAAACAAATCCTAATCTAATTCTAAAAACTGACCTAGGCGGCGCGTTGTCGCCGAGAAAGGATTTACAGAGACGTTCCGCCTCTCTTCGTGTGATCATGCCGCATCTGCGCGAGGACACCGGCATCGCGCCGGCACGACGAAGTATTTCCAGCTGAACCGGCGTGCACTGCACGCAGGTGATACCCAACGCCACCCGACGATTGTGGATCTCGTTATAGCTGAACTGCTTCAGCAGGGTGTTGCTGATCTGCGCCAGACACAGTCTTTCCTGACCCTCGATCACTAGCGACACGATGTGGATTCCATAAAGCGACACGGTGCCCACCTGCAACTCCTATCGATTTAGATGCACCACGATGCTCTCAGATCATTTTCCATCGCTGCGATTTTTTTATTTTTCTATGTTCACTCTTTCGTGAGTTTTTAACTTTTTTATTTATTCTTTTTTTTATTTGATTTCTTAAATCTCAGCGTTACCTGATTCTGTTTCGGATGCGACTGTGGCTGTGGCGACTGTGCCGGTTTCTGCGACGAAGTCAGCGGCGGCATCGACAGCACCGCCGGACCGTCCATCCTGAGGAAAATTTTATAATTTTCTTGCCAGAATTTTCGAAGATTCGCACAAATAATCACAATTACGTTACTAGAAGTAAACGTTACGCTGTATTTTCAAAACTGTTGATAAATAGCGTTTGCAAAATTGAAATATTTAACAAACAGAGAAAATAATTCCAATTACGTAAAAGAGCAATTCAAATAAATATAACGACATGCTTAAAAATTAAATGTTTCTTCCACGTGCATTTTGAAAACAAAACACGGTCGGGGTTCGCGCTATCGCGTTCGAAAAATCATAACAATTTTAACAATGTTTCGAGAATTGTTTGTAATTTTGCGCTACCTATATCGCGTTATCGGGAGAGTCCGAAAGCCTATTCGACCTAATGGAAAATTCATCGACAATGCGACGCGGCAATAATTCGCCTCTCAACGTGGTTTTTATCATCATCGGCGAGATTGATTATAATCTCTGATGTTTTACGGTCACGCCCGCGCGCGCTTTCTCTCTCTCTCTCTCTCTTTCTCTGTTTCTCTCTCTCGTGTTCCGATAATAAATTCCGCGTTTTCCGCTCGCGCGGGGGAAAAAAGCGTCCTCTTCTCCGCGCCCGCTTCCTCGCCATTCGTGGTAATTATATTTATTACACTTTATCGATCGAACTCTCTTTCTCTCTCTCTCTCTCTCACTCTCCCGACGTGCCGTCGCGTCCGGCCGTGCATTCAGCTCAATTAAATCGCGGGCCTTTCTCGTTTTTGTTCTATCCCGATCGACTACTGCGCGCGATCGTCGACCAATTAAATCGCGAACGGTAACGCGACTTTTCATAACGTAAGCGGTAACGGCGCCGCTCTCGTCTCCCATTTATATTCGATCCTTTTTTTGACAAAAGGATAAAGGTTGAAGAGCTTCCCCCACGGTGATTCTCTCGTGAAAGCAAACCTATTTGGAAATTGATAGAATTGCGAGTTGAATTATAAACGATCGCCTTCTACGTGGTTAAAGGTCCGTCCATAATAAGATTGGCAGTTAGGCGGTAAAGCAGTAGCAGGGCAATTCCTACCAGGTCATGTTTGTCCTGAATGAAGAGACGACGTAGCGGCAGCAACGATAAAGCCGGCCAATGAGAAAACAAACTTTCGAGATTACATGCGAGATGATTATGCAGTTTTCTCAACGGGGGGTTTGTTTTCGTCAGTAGATATAAATTTGAGAAAAATTGGAATTTTTTGTTATCTTGTCTATCTTGACGTAATTTATTATTATTACACAATGGCAGCTGCAATATATAAGGACGAGGCATTGCTGACATTACTGAAAATCGCAATTCCAAACGCCTCAAAGTGATGCGAGATGATTGCTGGAAGCCGCAGGCAGTACCGAAATAATTTATTTCGCTCATGAAATTCACAGCTCTACTGCTATGACCTTTTACAACGGAAATAGGTCTCTTATGACCTACTGTTACGATCTCTCCAACGTAGACGGGCCTTTAGTTGTAAATCTATTTTTGTGCTAGTTCATACCATCTGTTCTAGATTTTGTGTATATCTTATACTGTTTATAAAAAAAAAAAAACAACAACAGAAAGTTGACTGACGTGTCGCCTCGACATTTTTTTATTTAATCCGCTGGACCTTCACAGACAGAATGAAAATGAGTTAATCGACGATAGCGCGATCGCTATTTATCCGCGATTGAGAAAACACGCGTGCCGATTGAAAGGTGTGATTAAGTTGTTCTCGTCTCGTCGTTGTCGCTCGAAGGGTCCTCCTTAATTATCGGACGGTGATTAAGCGAATCCAAAGACCCGTTGAAATTAAACTCGCGCGATCAAAGCGCTAGCCGTGTTCTGTCTTCTCTCTCTCTTTCTCTCTCTCCCTCTCTCTCTCTCTTTCTCTCTCTCTCTCTCTCTTTCGAATTACGGAAACTCAGAATTAAGGGCGATTAAATCCTTTTTCTCCCGCTTAACCTTCTTTCCAGCTTCTTTTTACCGTAATCAGTAATTGGGTGATTCGTTAATCGCGCCGTGAACAACAATGTCTCCGCTCGGGATTCAACACATTGAAAAATGTTCAGGTCAAAGCACTGAAATACTTCGTTTTGTTTCTCCAATGTCGATTTTTTTTAAAGAACAGTCAAGAGAATCTTGTGTTTAAATAAATTATAATTAAATAATCTAAACGTCATACACATTTCAAAAGTTTGAATCGTATTGAAGAATTTGTTTTGCGCTTCCTCACGTTCTATAATCACGTTTGCTTGTTTTTTTCAAACTCAACACGACGATATAATGGCCCCGTATTCAGGATTCAAGCGCGCAGAGATTTGCGAGAAAATAACTTCGGAGCAGCGAACTGCCACCAATCGGCGCTCTCTGTAATTTTTTTCCACGCGTCAAAGCGGCAAGGAGTTTCAGAAGATTCGCAAGAAGGAATACGAGCGATTCGCCAGATTCCGCTTTTCTCAAAGAGGACGATTCGCCAGATTCCACCGACTTCCTTTCGCGAGGACCGCCCGATAAGAAAAAGAAAAAAGACGAAGATGCTAAAGGCGAAAATGAGAGCTTCGGCCCCCGCGAATCGAATTCTTTATCCTCTTAGAGAAGACGACGAGAGGAAAGAGGCCGAAAAATTCCCGAGTGCTTTTAATAAGTGACTGGAGGTTTCTCCGTCGTTAGTTTAACACGCGACGAAGATTTCAAAACAGAGAGACAAAGAGAGAGAGAAAATTTTTCAGACGGAAGAGATTGAAGAGAAAAACCATTTTGTATTTGTCTGCGATAGAAATTGTGATAAAAATTTTTCTCGACGTAATGGAAATGAATACGCGCGACAAATAAATCACTGCAACAATTCCGCTCGTATTTCTGTGAAATAACGTAATACAAAACTCCGGGACTCTGTGTACGAACGGTACAGTTATATATATATATATACATATATATAACCGAAGTAATAACATAATGCGTATAAGACAAGAGATACGCGTCGCTTTGGGAAGAGAAAGAAAAGAAGAGGAAAAAGTCGGAAAGGTGGATTCCGAAGGGGGTGAGAAGGTTGCATCGTGGAACAGGTACGCCGATTAAGAAGAGAGATCAAAACGGTTCACGTCGACGAGAAGAGAAGCGAGAGCGACGAGAGGGATGAGCGAGAGGGGTGCAACGGAGTCGGGGCCAACCCCCGGTGTTGATTTTAATTGAAAACGCCTCCGTGGAGAAGGTAGCGCGCGCACGTACATATAAATGTATTATAGTGTCTCTGCACACACGCACACGCGCGCGCGCGCACACACACACAAGCACAGAGATACCGATGCAACCCCGTGACGTCCGGAGGTAGCGCGGGAGCGCCAGCGCCCCGGCAAACGTCCCCGGGGAGCCGTGGTACGAGGGGGTAATTCAATTTGACACCCCCACCCACGCTTAAACAAGGCAGCACCCATCCGAGCGTCCTCGCTCTCTCCCTCGCTCTCTCCGCTCGCTTTCTCTCTCGTTGTACCTCTCCTCCCGCGCTCTGTCTCTCTTTCACCCTCATTCTCCTCTCCTTCCTTCTCCTCATCCTCCGCCGCTGCTTCCTCTCTTCGTACCGTGCAAATTAAATTCTCATCCACCGTGAAACAATGTCGGTACCCGACCCGGAACAATCCCCGCTGCCTACATCGCGAGTTTCGCCCCCCCCCCTCCTCACCGTTCCTCCATCCCTCTCTTGTGTCGCTCTACGCTACTTCTCGCCCCGACGAGCCTCGCGGATTCCGTTGGTCAGCGGTCGGACGGATCGGACTCGAATCGACCGCATTAATTACTCGCTACTTACAATTATAGTGCAGACCGGATAGAGAGAACGGTCGTAGAGATCGTTTGATTCGTGAGAGATGTTTATTTGCCGGCGAGAACTTCCCGCCGATAGCTGTCTTTCGGATTAAGAAACAATATTCTAACGGAACCAGATTAAATCCCCGTTTTTTTTTTGTTGTTTGAACACACAATTGCGACGGTGTGATTTCATAAAATTCAACCGCATTTACCAAAAATTTACTGCACGCGCAATGACGATTAGGAACAATATTTTACCCTACGATTAAACTTAACAACTAAATTACTTGTTGAGACACCTTTAATTTCAATATCGTTACACACGCGAGAAACGAGTCACTTCAGAAATGTCACCGCGAGAGATTCGGAACTGTCGGAGAATTGCACGCGCGCGAGATAGATAGAAAGAGAGAGAGAGAGAGAGAGAGAGAGAGAGAGAGAGAGAGACGGAGAGGGACCGAGAAAGTCGCGAGCGGCGTTCTCTCAGGATTACGTACCCGCGGGCTCGCGGATTATTTAAATGCAAACACAATGTTGTACCGGGACGCATTGTTCCCCTCTCGGTTATTTTACAATTCAATCTGCGATCCCGGGACTCCGCCGACGCGGCGCGACGCGGACGGGAGCGCTCGTTCGTTCATTGTAACGTTGTTAAATCTCCGTCCTTCCATCATGACTATCTCCTCCACCCTTCTCTTTCCGGGACTACTCTTCTTCTCTGTCTTCTAACCCCCCCCCTCCCCTCCTCCGGAATCCTCCCTCTATCGCACGCGCGACTCTCATCTCGACGTGTTCTCGGTCTCTTCAGCTCGCGGAGAACGCGCGATACCGGTCTCTCTCTCTCTCTTCTTTTCTCCTTCTCTCTTCTCCTTCTCTGTAATTGTACGCGTCTTTCGGAATCTTCGCATAATTTATGAGCGGTTACTCCTCTTCACCCCGGTGTGTCTTGCCGATGGTGATGTGAATCGCGAGTGTGTAATTTTGTCGGACAACGAAGCGCGAAAACGCGTGATGTAATCAGTATTAATACATCGTCGGTGATTGCGTTTTGGCGACACTCGCAATTAATCCCCCGCCGATCCGAACGGCTTGTCCGTAATGTAATTCTGAACTTCGATCTAAACTCCCCGATTGCGCACCGAGAGAGATCATACCGATTGATCTCGCGCACAAAGATCTTCGATCTTTCGTAACTTGTGTAAA